GGGGGCCATTCCAAGACTTTAGTTAGTGGTCAAGGGCTGCATTTTTCTATGGAGGAGGTGCGGGATCTGGTATTGGAGGTTGGGTGCAGAAGGGAGCTCGAGATAACGGGGATTGGGGGGCAGGAGAGGGTGTGGGGTCTGAGAGAGAGTTTGGGTGAAGGAGGGGATTTTGAAATGGGGAACAGGATTGAGATTCAGGGTCTGCGAGGCTATGGGTACAGGAGAGGATTCTGGCTTGGGGAGAGGTGTAGGAGGAAGGTCAGGGGCTGGGAGGGAGTTGTTACCTCGGGGAGGGGAATGCAGAGGGTTTGGGTGGTGACCTGGAGCAGGAGGGGGTAGTGGCCTGGGGTAGGGAGTTGGGATATGGAATGGGGTGGGCTGCCAGAGGCAGGCTTTAGCTGGGAGGCATTTGCCTAGGTGACTTCTGAGCAGCAGCCCAGCAGCAGCCTGAGCAGCAGCCCCGCAACCTTCAGGCTGGCTCCCTGCCTGCTGCAGCCCCATGCTCCAAGTGGCTAGCTGTTCCATGTGGCTCTCTGCTTTCCCGCCAATGTAAGCAGTGTGGGGCTGCTCCATGACTGAGAGTCCTGTTGGGGTGGGCCATATTGAAAGACTTTGCCCACAGTTTGAGAACTGCTGAGTCAGAGCATTTTTCTCTTTTACACTTTCATAGTGTTTTACTCTGACGCATCAGTTCTCAAACTGTGTGCCAGGACCCCAAAGTGGGTCACAACCCCATTTTAAAGGGATTGCCAGGGCCAGCATTAGACTTGCTGGAACCCGGGGCTTAAGCTAATCCCTTCATCCCCTAACAGGGCAGAGTGATTTTGGCTGTGGTCCCCTTTTGCCCCATTTGGGGCAGTGAGGCTTGAGCTGCGGCTCCTCTCCCCATGGGTCATGTATTCATTTGTTCATGACCCACCTTCTGACAGTTAAGTCTGAGAATCTCTGTTTTAACTCAAAAGTGATGTGATTCTTATTTTCTGAACGCTTCAATCATCAAAACACCCATCTATGGCACACCGGTACATTAAAATTAAGCACCTTGTTTATACAGTAAAACTCCAATAGTCCGGCATCCAATAGTCCGGCACTCCTGATAGTCCGGAATCAAAATGGCAAGAGCCTAGTGAGTGAGCTTTGGCAAAAAATGAGTCACAAGGCAACAGTGGCAGCAGCTGAACTGAGCAAAAAGTCTAAAAAAAAGGCTTTAAAAAACTAAACATTACAGTATACTGTATACAGTATGTACAGTAAAAAAGGGTTAAGAACACTTTATATACAGTATATATATATATAACCAGTTTAAAGTACCTCCTGATAGTCCGGCATATTTGATAATCCGGCACCACCTAGGTCCCATAGGTTCCGGATTATCGGAAGTCTATTGTATATCACTTTTCAGTTTCAGAGCCCTTTATAGATATTAATTAATTAATCATTTTTAAAAATTCCATGTGGGGAAAAATTAGAGAGAGAGAAGAAATAAAAATGTCTTTTTCCAGAATAAATATTTCCTGCTTTCCAAATTATCACCATTTAATCATAGATTTGCTCAATTGTGCACTGCTTACAAAAATGAATTCTCACTGAGCAATACTAGTATAAATTATTCCAACAAATACATTGCCATTTCTGATAGTGATAAAATATACTAATTAGGTTTCATAATTTTGTTTGAGTTTACAGAATAGATATTGGGATGAAAGCAAGTTCTCAGGAGCATTTGAGGAACAGTTCTTTCAAAAATAGTACAGTATTTCCTTTTAGTTCCTTCTGGTGACTAGATGGAAAGGCTCATTTAGCAAGTTTTTAAGGACTCTCAAACAAGAGAAAAGTTTGCGGGTCTACTGCGGTGGCTGTCTTTTCTCTACTTTTGGGTACTCCTTTAAGCTAATGTCTTCAGGTTACTTAAAGCATGTACCTAGATAATACTGATGCAACACAGTGCCACTTGTCTTGCATATGACACAATGAACCCTGTGGAGCAAGTAATTCCTCCTCTTCCATAGATGCAGAGGTCCCTGACAGCAGAGTTGATTCATTTCTGTTGTGCAAAAAGGAGAGGGAGCTGAATTGAATATATACACCCCAACATGGGATGAACTTAGTTTCAGGATGTTACTTTGCATCTGGATTCTCCTCTCCTCCAACTCTTGCATGGGTCTGCAGCTTGCCCTGACACCAACTCCAGTGCTGGCAGAAATACCCAGCATTTAGCGTGGCTGTGTGCGGGATTGGAGGCTTTGAGTCTGTGTCCTCCACTCTGATCTTCTTTCTCTTCATTGTGTATTGTAGTTATTCCGCTTCACTTTGCTATCATGATGTAGAAAATAGAAGTATCCATCTAATTTACAACATTATTTATGTTATGGCATAGCAGAAAAATCTAAGCAGTGCTGCTGTTTTCCTCCCTAAAAATTGAAAGGGCGTTTTTGCAATTCAAGTGGCCTGCACTTGAATGAAAATGTACATAACAAATTACGTTTGGCTAGCTAGTACCAAAAAACAATGCAGTTTTTTAATGCATTGTTTGTTGCCACCTTAGCCTTGGAAATATTTCCTATGTGATTATACATTCAGGCCCCAAGATTATCATTTTATTTTGTGACTTTTTTTCCTTAATTATTTTCATCATGATATTCAAGAACATAAAAAATCCTCTGCTGTCTGACAGCTCAGACAGTCTGCCCTTATTTTCACCTCTGGCATTCTGTGTTTGGAGGTGGAGTTAAGAGTGGGGCTTTCATAAATATATGTAGAGAGAAAGACTGAGAGAAATATATGCAGAGGGAAAGACTGAGAGAGAGAATATTATTTGATGAGAAAAAGAGATGTTATGAACACCACCACCAGCAATGAATGTTTAGAGAGTTATGCTCTCCCCTACACTTTGGAAACATTTTCATGGAGTATTTTCGTTTTAAGCACTTTAATGAAACCTCTCATGGTTGCCAACTATCTTGTTCTAAATTAGACCAGGGTTGTTGTTGTTGTTGTTGTTGTTATTAAGCCTCTGTTCTGTCATCCTAAGTAAGGACGTCAGGATTTGGTCAAAACACTGTTACAAAAAACCAAACCAAAACCTCCGCAGTAGTTAAACAGCACTACTTTACTTTTATTTTTATATTAAAATGCCAGAGTTTTTTTTTTTCCTTGTGACTAATGACACAGGAACATTTTAAAAATTGGGGATGCTATGCCTCCTTATCCCTGTCCACTCCCACCCACAGCTGAGGCTAGAAGCAAAGCCTCAGGATGCAGTGCCAGTAGCTGGGACCCTAGGCATGGGGCCATCAGCAGATGCCCCTGGTGTACGAGGCTCAAAACAGAACCCCAGCATGTGGGGCTGGCAGCAGAGCCCCTGATATCTTGGACCCTGACATGTGGGGTTGGCAGTTGGGTCCCCAGATGTTAGATTGGTAGCCTGGGGGTGCTTCAGTACCCCCCATACAGCTAGTTCCTGTGCGTATTCTTGTGACTGAGACCCTAAGGTAGCCACAGAGAGGTTACTCAGGGTAAACTACAAAGAATGGGCCAGACAGTCCACAAAGCTGATGGATATTCCAGAATTTAGATTTATTAAGCCAGCACTAAACAGCTTCTATAATACTTTACTGGTTACCCCAAACCACAACATGTTTCCCTTAAAAGTAACCCAGCCTTAGGCCTCTGCAGTATCTGCTATCTAGTTTGTCTGTCTGTGCATGCATTTGTCCGTCTGTCTACCTGTTCAAGAACTTCTCCTAAATGGTAGCTAGGAACACCAAATTCATGGCTTCCACTCACCATAAATTAACATAACCAAAATAAGGGTTTGTCTGCGCCAGGAAAATGAGTGTGCCTGGAATGGGATAGCTTCTCATGAAACCACACAGAAAAGAGACAGTATGACCAGGCAGGTGAAAGGGGGTGGCTGGGGGTGCCACCTCCACCCCAGGACTGACCAAGATCTGAGTCTCCCACTCCCTCAGCCAGAGGTTCCCAACTGCTGGTTTGTGAACTGGTGCCATGTGGAGGCGGTGGCAGGAGGAGGCAGAGCAGGAGGGGACGCACTTGTGGACACGTGCTTGGAGAGAGCACGCATGCTGCCAATGGCCGCTCCCCCTGCCTACGTGGCCGCTTTTGCCAGTGGTAGTGTTGGGGCTGAGATGGCGGTAATAGGGAAGCAGAGCAGGAGGCTCTTCCCTCCTTCTTTCCCCCTCAGTAATGGCGGCTGGCTGGGGCTTCGCGCTCCCCCCACCCAAGGGGGCTCAAGACTCACTTGGGGAAAGAGGAGGTGCGAAGGAGGAAGGCTGCTCCCCCTGCTCACATGGCAGTAACCTACGGATAGTCACGCTCTGGGGAGTGTGGAGGTGGGGTAGAGGCAAATGGAAAAGGGTTGGTGGGTGAGGCTGTTGACACAGGGCAAGAGGGTGTTGACATGGGCTGTAGGGGTGAGGGTCGAAGGATGTTAGGAGTAAGGGAATGAGTTAGCGCTAGGCAGATGGCAACATTTTATTTGCATATTCATTATTTGCAGAGTAAATATACAAATAAAATGTTGCTGGTCCACCAAAAGTTTGTGAATGGGTTTGTCAGTCTGCAGAGCCTAAAATGTTGGGAACCACTGCCCTAGGCAGCTTCTAGGAGGGCCAGGGAGGCTGGGGGGGCTGCAGTGCCTTCCCTCCCGTATGGGGATTCATAAAATTATACAGAAAATACTGGAAAAATCTTCTAGTAATTTATGTAAACACAGAAAAACACAAAGGTTAGCTACCAGTGTGTCCCTTAAAGGTTGAATCTGGGTTATTTAGCCTGAGCTGCTTAACCTTTTCTGGCCATATGTTACAGACCTGCACAATATTTACAATACCCAGTGAAGAAAGCATGTTTGCTTTCCCCCCCCCCCCCCGCCTACTAGAAATATAATAGAAATCACTGTAGTTTGTATACATTTATATCTCTTTTAGTGAATCTTCATGACTAAAATTGCAACAGCTCTGATTTTGTTTGGTTTTTAGGACTATTATGGGACCTTACGGAATCAATCGAGCTGTTCATCGCATTACTTTTTCTGACTGTCAAAATGGATTAGGTAATTAGATTACATATTTGATTCTAAAAGAGTGAAATCACATTGGATGTTTGCAGTTCACACTGGTATCAGTGGGAGTTGAAGTTTCTTACTTTGTTGTGCTATTTGGCTAAACATGTTTGGTGCAGTGGAGGGAATGACCAGTTTCTTGCTTGTATCTATTTTTCAACAGGAATTAAGATTATTGGAGGTTATCGGGAGCAAACAGAAGAAGATTATGGAATTTTCATAAAGAAAATTTTGCCTGGAGGGATGGCTGCTATAGATAGTAAATAATTATGTTTATGTATTTTGTAGAATCCTACATTTTATAGGATGCTGTCAAGAAAACAATTTTTTACATTTTATTTTTGGTATATACGCACAAAGTAATATGTACTTCAGCACTTTCTAATTTATAGTTGGCAGAAGAGTAAGGGAGGCTGTGGAGGATTCTCAGTAATGGACATCCATTCAAATCTAGATCAGGCTAGCATGAAATCAGTTTGTAATCTGTCTACTTTGTCAACTTTCCCAACTGAGAGATGCTGAAAGCTCTTAATTCCCCCAGAAGCCACTGGGAGTCAAGGGCTTTAGAACCCCCACAAGATCAGGTTCTGTATTCATAAATGGTTCTAATGAATTCAGATGAATGTTTTATTATCATGTTTTTGGTAATTTTATATGGAAGGACCAAATTATGTTGTATAGAATTTAACTGGGGAGAAAATTCCACTCTATATTGGATCCCTCCAGGGTTTTAAAGTTGACCTGGTTTTGTCCACACTAGCTACTGAATAAAAAACCCCAACAACCTTTACCTAACTTTGTATTTTAAAACTGCTCAGCAAAACTGCTGTAGTCATTAGACAGCCATTGAGTGGTTCAAAATAAAAACTGTTTTAAAAATATTATAAACATCAAGGAATACAAAATATTGAATTTATATATGGTAACCTATGTGTAGTCATCAGTTCTAAGGTCAGTTGATGCTAATTCCACACCTGTGGAGTGTAATCCTATAAATATGTACAGTACATGGTATGAGTAGTCCTATTAGGATCAGTGGAACTACTCATGATTAGTGAAGTTAAGCACATGCTTAAGTATTTATGGGATAAAGGCCAAAGGTGGTAAAATCATTGTTACATTAGATTAGAACAAAAGTAATAGGGATATATTTCCCATTTTCCCCTGTTAATTCATATAGACTTTTACATTATATTTTGCTAATCTCTTTATCAGACCGATTGTTCACTGGAGACCTAATTTTAGATGTCAATGGAGAAAATTTAGTTGGCGTAACCAGTGAAAGGTATGTTCATAAAGAAGATGAAATGTTTTTCTTGATGTTGGAACAATGTTGCTAATACTGGTGTTAAACAATCAAACACTGATTAAAAGGATATAACTGCACCAAAATCCATGGAGTTGCATTCGTGGATTGTCCCAGACTGCCCAATATAGCTATCCTTACTCAATAAAAATATCATTGATATTAATGGGAGTTTTGCCTATGGAGGAGATGATTAAAGAGATTTTATGTTGTAGCGTCGGCTGCAGAATGTATGTGTAAATTCATATCAAAATAGTACTGAGCTAGTAAAATATGTAATGTTACTGTAATTCTTATGGTATTGTCTGGATGCCATTAAAGCAAATGATTTGGTTTTATATTGCGAATAATTGGTACTTTTTGTTAAACCTCGTGGGGTAATTATGGCAAATAAGTTATCCATATTGTTCATCTGAGTTAGAAACACCAACCATCACTATAAAGCTACAAACTGTGATAGAGTTTGCATTTATACTAAAAATATCCCCCCAAATAAAACTATTATAGCACCAGTTAGAAAAATAAACAAATCAGATTTGAACAGTACAAAATTAAAAGGCAGCGTCTAACCTATACCATGCCATATGATAGTCCAAGGTTAAATGGAATGATGTATCTAAAGTGTATTTCCAAAATGGTTTTTCTGTTAAGAAAATAATTTGTTTAGTTTTCTGCCATTTTAATACTGTGTGGTTGATACAGAGTCCTTGTACACAAACAGTGAAAAAAGATAGATTTTTAATTGTTGTGCGTTTTTTTTCCCTTACAGAGCTGTTGATATTTTGCGAATGGCATCAGCAACTAACCATGTATCTTTACTGGTTGCTCGAGATGAAGAAGCAAAGTAAGAGAGTTAAAATGCTTATATGTAAAAATTACCACTACAGCATCTTTTCTCCCCATAAACCCTAACACATTCATTAAAATATGTGATTTGATAATATACAGATGTTTTTCAAATTTGGGCTTCGTCACAAGATACCCACAATGTACTTTATGTTTTTGTATTTTGCTTAAACCTTTTATAGAATAATGTATTTTGTCAGAGTATACTACAGAGTTTTTATTATTTTCCCCCATATGCATATGTGGTACATCCCAAAATATGGTACCACGATTCCTATGAAGAATGATAGCAGTGATTAATTGAAAGTGCATCAGTATATTTTATATCAGACTTTCAGGGCCATGATGGCTACATTATATGAATATATGAAAGCTAGTCTAAAGTCACATAGGAAATGTTAATCATCCTCATCTTAGTCAAATGATCAATTGCAGTTAATTTGTTCAGTGGGGCAGTCACATTACTAACGGGTGGTTCTGATCATTTATATGTCATGAACAAAGTCTAAATGTTACATTGTATAATTAATAATACTATAAAGTATTTGCTATCATTATGATCGTGATTTCCTGACTATCTGTTGTCTTTTTAAAATTTAAAAGAAGTGCAATTTAAAAAGTGATTATTATTTGACAGTGGTAAACTTTATATGATTTAACTAGTGCCAGATGTCTGAAAATAAAGCCCTTGCAGTTGTCTTTATTTGGCTTTTCAATCTTTTATATATGAGCCCTGAATTAGTTGGGATAAGTAGGTTAAATTATTCAGTGCAGCAGATAGTCCAAAATTCCTACATTATGAGGACAGTTACACTAAAATATCCCTTTAATCTTGTTATCTACAGATAATCATTTAAACTAACACTGGCATAGGAAATGTTGGGATGGAAAGAGGCCAGGAAGCCCATCTAGATCTATTCCCCCTTTTGACTTAGCAGCTGTTTCCTCCAAATATTTATATTACTGTATTTGAAAACCATTGAAGAGTTGCTACTATTGTTGCCTTTCTTAGGCTCTTCCATTTATTAACTGCCCTCTGTGTAAAATAAGTCCACTTAAACTACTTTAGAGCATGGCCTTTCTTAATCTTCTGCGTGTGTCCCTTTATTCTTGTATTTGACAGTAGTTCAAATGGCTTTGTAGCGTCTATCCTCTCTCTCTTCTTCAGACTGTTTTAGATATCTCTGAAGTCTACTCTTAATCTGCTTTTATCCAAAGCATACTGACCTAGTTCCTCTATCCTTCTTGAATAATTAAAATCTGTGAGCCCCTTTATATTCTGGTGGTTTGTCCCATTATAAAATCTCCATGAACTATTCTAAACATGTCCTCGCTCCCTTACTGAGCTCTCGGTTAATTTCCTACTACTGTACGTATATATGGTATTAAATACTCCATTTATACATAACAGTTTTTGTGTATCTTACTAGAACCTGGTGATGGATAAAACCATGAACACCAGTTAAACAAGTATATTTGTAATGGTGTTAAGCAGTCTACCAAACTGTGATTTTTAGTTACCCCTGTGTAGTGAAGGGAATTACTCTGGAGTTATGCTGCTGTAGCTGATATCACAGTCTGACCATTTATGTTACCTCCACCCTAACTCTGTGATATTCATTGTCTGGTGTTTGTGGTTTACATCCCTTTTAGGTATAGGCTCCTCTTCTTCCCCTCTCTCCTCCCTCTTGCTTTTTATTTACTTTTACCCCTGAGATTGTAAATTATATCTTAACTAATTAATCCAATAACTATTTTTGAAACGTCCAGAAATGTTTTAAAATAGTAATTAGTTGATTTCTACAGAGCCAATAATGTAAATATTTTTAATACAAAGAAGGATTCACAGATTTTAGATTGATTCTGCAACCTGCTGTATATTGAAATTGTGTATTCCTTTTGGGGGGAAGAATCCAATACATGCCTATAGGCATATAACACTAAGCATAGGAACTACATATAGGAATCTTGGAAACTAATAGCTATGGATTTATTTATGAACTTTCCAAAGAGGAAAGAGCCAAAGATGAGGGTATGGGTTGAGCTAGAGGCCTAGATTCTGGAAGCTGAGTCTGAAAAAGATGAAGATTTGGTGCATAAGCAGCTTAACAAAAGTTGCCAGTATGTCCAAAAGTGCTAATGCATAAATGGAGCATCTCAAGTAGGAATAAAAAAAAGTTTTCTGTGTTTGGCACTGCTGTAACTGCTGCTGGAATAATGTTACATTGTGGTATCTGCAATTCAAGAAGGATGTTAATAAATTTGAAGAAGTTTCAGACAACAGCCACAAGCATGATTCAAGGTTTAGGAAAAGCATGGCCTTACATTAATCTTACCGAAGAAAAGAAATAACTTAATCACAGTTTGTGAGAACCTATATGGGAACATATATTTGATAATGGGCTTTTCAGTCTAGCAGAGAAAGGTATAACATGATCCAATGGATAAAAGCATTCAGACTAGAAATAAGGCATATGTCTCCAACAGTGACAGTAATTAATCATTGGACCAATTTATATAGGCTTATCATGGATTCTCTAACACTGACAATTCTTAGATCAAAATTATGTTTCTAAAAGGTCTGCTCTAGGAATTATTGTGGGGAAGTTCTATGGTCTACATTCTACAGGGGATCAAACTAAATGGTCAGAATTGTCCCTTTTGGCCTTGAAATCTGTGAATTCCTAGCCAATGTTCAGAGACTGTTCAGAGTGCTAAGTGCAGCTTCAGTCTATTTAGCCCAGCACCTTAAAAGAAAAGAGAGGTAAATTGGTTGTGCTAATTGGAAGCTAGAACAGAGAACTCTGGGGAAATATAAGGTCTATCTTATGTGATTTCTACTTTCCAAAATATTTTTAAATCTCCTGCTTGTATGACTGCATGGGGAAAAGGCAGCCTGGAGCCTGTTAGAAAATAGATGTCAGTTTGAATCCTGAAACCCCTATAATCAGTTTCTACCCTGTGATGGTGAATATGTGACCAAATCTGTGTCTCTTGGAATGTTTTCATCCTTTTTGGTGCACAATAGCTCTGAAACAAGGCCATAAGTAATTCCAGTGCTATATAAATTCTAGATTTAAAGAAGTCTATATCACACTTTACTTCCAAATGCTATGTCATACTCCCTCTAGTGTTCTTATCATTTGTTGGACTATGTAAGCTATGTATTAAATTAGACAACTACTTGAGGAATAAGACATTTCAGTTCCTAATATAATTCTGTAATAAGGCACTACATTTTCTGGAGAGATATTTATACAAATTGCATCCTGCAGTACTTTGAGTTAATTCAGTTGAAGAGATAAAAAATTGCAGGAGAAAGAAACTGAAGAGGTATGTGGAAGGGAGAAAAAGAGAGCTGATATTTGGAATTAGAAGGAGGGGAATAAAACATGGGCCTACGGCAGGAGCTGCTATAGAAAAAGGTCTTTTACCATTTATAGCAAGGTTGAGTGAGGGGATAGAGAAGAAACTAGTACTAGATGAGCAGAAGGGAAAGTAATATGGAGTGTAATTCCTGAGTTGTGGTAGCAATCCACAGAATGTCTTAAAATTAACCAATGCCGTTCTAACTGGATGTGGAGACACATGGAAAGCCAACAAATCATTTAAACATTTGCATGAAGCGACTGTGCTTCTTTGGACATTTTAGAAGGCAGTTAGAGGAGGAAAAAGCAGCACTTTTTTTTTTCTTTGCCACTTGATCTGCTTTGACAGGCTTGTTGCAGGTGGGCTGCCCTCTATTCTTTTTTTTTTTTTTTAAACGGGATACATATAACAGTGTTTGCGCATATATATGAGAACAGTAGCAAGCTAGCTAGCTTTCCTCATTTGATCAGTATTTTCCAAAAAAATTACCAAAATGTCACTCAAAACTCAAAACAATTATTTTGTAAGCTTCAGAGTTATTTTTCACTTTTATATGCAGAGAGTAATTAATCAAATGTATAGTACTCTTATAAAAAGAGAAGAAATTTTGTGAATTTCTTTTCCCTCATCTCTGTTGTGGTATGGAATTAAAGAGAAAGCTTGGAATGAATTGGAATAGAAACTCTGGGATTGAATATAATCTTAGGCAGTTGTAAATCAGTAGTACTCTCGTGAAGTCAGTGATGCTAGTGTAAAACTGGTGAAGGTGAGGTCAAATCCAGTCTCATTGTTCCTAAATATTGCAAGTCAAGTAAGTCTGCTGATATTTAAAACAATGCAGAGAAAAGATACAGTTCATGTTTCAAAGTAGTACACTAGATCAGATAAAACATTGAAAGCAACAGGCAGAAAAGCTATAGGTGCTGCCTGGCATTTTCAGTGGAGCAAGTAAAGAAAAGAAGAATTCCTAAATAGACATGAGAGAATTCAGATGTATAAATCTTATGAATGAAATCTGATTTATTATTAGGGGTGATGTGTGGTGGCACGAGTTGGGCATATGCCCCCCAAGCTCTGTGAGTGGGAGGGGCAAAGGGTCGACCAGCAGCCAGTGGTGCCACAGTCCTTGGGCATCAGAGCAGCTAGTGGGGGACTGGTGCTCATAACAGGGATCTGCCCCCCCCCCTCCCCCGACAGTGGTGGAGAAAACGGAGCAATGTGGCCCTGGCTCGCTTTGGTCTCTCAGACATGCTGCTTGGGGGAGGAGCAGGATTGCTCCCACACTCACCAGTGGAAAGCAGAGCAACATGGTCGGGGGAGCGGAGTGAGCTGGGACCATGTTGCTCCACTTCCTCCACTGCTGTCAGTGAGAGCAGGGGGAGCAGAACCCGCCCATCTACTAGTGCCCATCACTCATGATGTGTGAAGGCACAAAGGACACACATGCTCCCAAGCACTATGGGTCGGAGGGGCAAAAGGCCGGCCAGCAGCCAGCATTGCCATAGTCCCTAGATGTCAGGACAGCAAGCAGGGGTGCTTGCAATAGAGATGCGAGGGATGTCCTCTGATGATAGGACAAGAAGCAATGGGCTTGAATTTCAGCAAGGGAGGTTTAGGTTGGATATTAGGAAAAACTTCCTGACTGTCAGGGTGGTTAAACACTGGAATAAATTACCTAGAGAGATTGTGGAATCTACTTATTGGAGATATTTAAGAGCAGGTTATGTTTGGTCCTGCCTTCAGGGCAGGGAACTGGACTTGATGAGGTCCCTTCAAGTTCTACTATTCAGTGATTCTATGAGAAGTGGTGGGGTGCAGCAGAGTCGAGGAAGAGGAGGGAAGAAAGGGGAGCAAGTGTGGGGATGGGTGGAGCAGGGGTGGGGAGAGATGAGGTCTGGGCTGGAGGGGGGTTGTCCTAGCCCTTCCCCATGCTAGAGGGTCACATGGCTGGTGGACCCTCAGCAGTCACCCCTGTTTATTATTGTGTAGGAAAATAAAAAACCTGTTGCTTTTCATCCTTCTATTATGTATCAACTGTTGTGTCTCAGAAATAATTAAGCTAGAACAAAAGCTTTCTCTGGCCCATATGCAGGAATTTCTGTGAGGGTGCTTTTTTTTGTAAATGTGGTCTGCAAAGGTGCGAGTGCACCTTCCCCTCCATAGTCCCCCAAGTAAGTGTGCTCTGGCCAGCAGAGGGAAGGCAGGAGCGGCGTGCTGCCTGAACCTCCCTCCCCTGTGCTCCAGCTGGCCCTGGGAAGAGGCTGGAGCTGATTTCCCTCTCCACCCCTTAGGGAAATCAGCCTTCCTCTGGCCAACTGGAGCATGAGGGAGGGAGTCTTGGGTAGCACACCGCTCTTGTCTCCCCCCAGCTGGCTGGAGCATGCTTAAGAGGGGGACTACAGGGAGGTGTGCTCTCACGCTTCACACACCCCTGCATACAGCCCTGATTCATCAGTTAAGATTGCTAATTAGAACTCTGCCTGTATTTGAAGCCACATTCATAGAACCATAGAGCTGGAAGAGACCTCAGGATGTCATCAAGTCCAGCCCCCTGCCCAAGGCAGGACCAATCCCAAATAAATCAACCCAGCCAGGGCTTTGTCAAGCTGAGACTTAAACACCTCTAGGGATGGAGATTCCACCATCTCCCTAGCTAACCCATTCCAGTGCTTCACCACCCTCCTAGTGAAATAGTTTTCCTAATATCCAACCTAGTCCTCCCCCACTGTAACTTAAACCCATTGCTCCTTGTTCGGCCATCCGTCACTACTAAGAACAGCCTCTCTCCATCCTCTTTGGAACCTCCCTTCAGGAAGTTGAAGGCTGCTATCAAATCCCCCCTCACTCTTCTCTTCTGCAGACTAAACAACCCAAATCCCTCAGTACCTCCTCATAGGTCACGCGCTCTAACCCCCTAATCATTTTGGTTGCCCTACACTGGACCCTCTCCAATGCGGCCACATCCTTCCCATTCAGAAGCTGTTCTCCAGCTTTAACCCTGTTGTGATCTGGAGAACCGCATCTACCTCTATGCTGGTAGTTGGGGGGCTTCCACAAGCCTTGCTCAGAAGGGAAAATATGACGTGCCATTACCTCATAGAAACGAGTTGGCTGAGGTACTGTCTTGTATAAATTGTATTGGACCAATCTGAGTTGGTGAGAGAGAGACAAGTTTTCAAGATACACAGAGCTCTTCTTTGGGATTGGGAAATATCCCAGAGTCAGTGTCACTGTCAAATATAAGATGGAACAGATGGTTATAGTTAACACATTTTTCAAAGGACCACTTAAGGTGCATTGGCCTCTTAACAACACCCTGGTCATTGGCTAGTAAAGAGAGTCACAGATTGGTGTAATGAATCATAAATCCAGTGTGTCTGTCCAGTCCATATTTTGTAGCATCTAGCAAAGGTATGAATTTAAGTTCCCAGGCTCATTTTTTTAATGCTGTTGTGCAGGCTTCCTCTGAGGGCGAGGCCTGAGGGATCCGATACAGAGGGATGGCTTTGTGAAAAGTGTAGTAGTTTGAGGCATTTCCAAACCTGCTTGTACCCTCTTGCCCCCCTCCGAGAAAGCTGCAACAGAATCACATACCATCCAAACAGATGGTCCCCTTACCTCCTATGGAACTAGAATGTGGGACTGAGGTGACAGTGCCAGCAGGGCTCTTGCTACATTGCAAAGGTGGAGGTGTTCTTATCGACTAATCAATCGACTATTTGATTACTAGATTAATCTAAATTTAACTTCCTTAAGTCTGGGGCAATGCACTGCTCCAGTCTTCCCCAATCCAGCCAGAATTGGCCCCAGGGGGTATCATGGGGGGAGTGCATTCGCACCCTTTGCAGTCTCGCTGTGTACAGGCCTGTTTCTGCACTGCTGCTATGCGTAGAATTTGTGTCAATGAGTAACTCCTCTTGGAATCAAGTAGCACCACTCTCTCATCATTCAGAGGGGTCACTGTTGAGCTGCTTCAGAGGCACTTGCAATCCAGGGTGAATAGAGCTAGTAATTAAACTTCTGTATTTTATATATAGACTATTGGCTTCTATGCTTGTCCTTCATTATAGTGCCACTTTTTCACTTATCTGTGCTCAGTATTTTTATATCTGACAAAAATGTCATTTTTCATTTGGTATTAAGCCATAGACTTTTAGTATGCTGTGGTCTGGGGACTTTGTATGTTTAGCAGTAAAGATGAGAGATACATTCTAAACAAGTGGCACTCCTACATTTGTAACTGAAGTCAAATTAAATAATAAAAGATTTTTATTATCATAGGAAAGAATTTCTAGACCTGATGGATAAATATGGATCATGCAGTAACACAGAGTCTGCAAGATGTTCACCAACACAACTGGTAGCTGGTGAGGCGTTGAATATTTCTGCTTTTTGTACTATAAGGAAGCAATAGAGGATGCTTGATTGCCTAAAATAATATTGGAGAACACTGCAATCATCCGTGTCTAAAATATGAACCAGAACTTCAAAGAGGTAGTTGGGGATGGTGTAATATGGTTTACTGAGTAGAGGCAGGCAGCTAGGAGTCTGGCAGGAAAGTTACTTAACTTCTCCATGTTCATTTCCCCATCTATATTGCATTGCCTCCCTCAAACCATTAATGAATGGTTTATTACATGTTATGAAAATCTGTGGTGAAAGGTGCCTTAATACTGTGAAGTGTATTGATACCTGAGGCTATGTCTAGACTACATCCCTCTTTCGAAAGAGGGATGTAAATTAGACAGATTGAAATTGCAAATGAAGCTGGGATTTGAATTTCCCATGCTTCATTTGCATAATGGCCACCGTGCATTCTTTTGAAAAAGGGCTTTTCGAAAGTGAAACCGCCGTCTAGATGCGGTTCTTTCGGGGAAAAAAAAACAACCCTTTTTCGAAAGATCCTGTACTCCTTAAAAAATGAGGTTTACAGGATCTTTTGAAAAAGAGTGTGTTTTTTTTCTGAAAGAACCACGTCTAGATGTCGTTTGGAGTTGTTGTATTAGTAGGGATGATTTGTATATTGGACCAACCCTCCTCTTTCAGATGGGTAGGTATAAGATTATTTTGCTCCACTCTTTTCATTTGAAGGGCCAGTCTTCACTTGTCACCAAGTGATGTGTGTTTCTGAATACCTGAGTGCTTATCTTAGCTCTCACTCGGAAGCTGTGTAGCCTCAGGCTTCCGTGTAGGTTTGTTTCTTTTTGACAGAAGCTTTTATGAGCTCCTTTCTAAGGATATAAGGAAGGAAGGACTGGGGAAGTGAAGTGAAATACCTGAGCTGCTGTTTTAGAAGTGTGAAAGGGTAGAGGGGTTAAAGTCAGTACTATAAGGATAAGTTATTTTCAGCAGCTGATATGATGTATTGTATCTGCTCTCAACTCCAGTATCCTCTTCTTCTGTTTTTTCAAATCAAGCACAGATGTTGTTATAAAATGAACGCAGGTGCTAAACATTCCTTCCTGGAGCCAAAAGGAGTGAGTCAGATTATACTCAACCTACTCCTGGGAAGGAATGAGAGCCTTCACACCTTTTCCTATTGTCCAGAAGACTGGATTTGGCTGATTGCAAGACCTCAAAATGGTGGATTTTTGGCAAACTGGATAATGGACAGAAGCCTGCTTGAGAGAACACTCAATATCAGAGATATATTTATTGTATTTATTTTCAAAACGAATAAACTCCTTGGTCATAATGATTACCAGAAAGAGAACCCTTTATTGCCTTGGTGTCCAGTGTGCTAGCCACTAGCCACATGTGGCTACTTGGCTGGTTGTTGTCTTGAACAATGTGGCTATTTGGCTGGTTGAGTGTGGCTAGTTCGCTATAGTATTAGCCACTATAGTGATTGGACACCACAGCTTTAACAGTTTAAGGTCATGAGAAAAATCATGCTCCTCTTCCTGACGTGCTGAACTGTTTGCCTGAGCAAGATCAGCAGAAATTGGTGCTATATGTCAGTGAATGTGATTTTTATTCCTCTTTTCTCACTATTTCTTTCTTTTAGGAAAACCTGTTGACTGCCTTTCTTCTGGATCATCCTCAAGTTTACAAAGTCCTCAGCTTCTGCAACCAAAGGATATCATCATCAGCTATAATGGAAATAATTCTCTTACCACAGCATCGCCACAGCTCACAAAGTAATTTCTGAAGCTCTCTTCTTTGATCTCCCTTGTTCAAAAGTATTTGTGTTGAGCTGCTTATGAGTATTTTGGGAGGAGCCCACTAGAGGGACACAGGATACAAACACTTTTACTTTTAAAAATCATGTTATTAGTAACACTGTTGATTGTTAAAGCTGAATTAATTTTAAAAGTAGCAGCCTCCAACTGCCCCCATTTAGTCAGTTAACTGGTTAAACTTAATGGCTTACTGGATAACTTATTAAATGGGACCTTTACTTACTTACATCCTTACTTTAGAGGTCCATGTTTGAAATTTTTTGGCCAACTTACCCAAGGTCAAGCTGTGAGTAAGTGGCAGAACCACAGCTGGAATTCAAGGCTACGTCTAGACTGCATCCTTCTGTTAACAGAGGGATGCAAATCAAGCACATTGAAATTGCTAATGAAGCAGGGATTTAAATATCCTGGGCCTCCTTAGCATAAACATGGCCGCCACTTTTTATTTTCAAAATGGAGCTTTTTGGGAAAAAATGGCAGTTTAGATAAGGATGTGTTGAAAATAAACCTTTTTTCGACAGATCTGCGTCTAAACTGCTGGTTTTTTTTCAAAAAAGCTCAGTTTCAAAAAAAAAATGGTGGCCATGTTTATGCTAAGGAGGCCCAGGATATTTAAATCCCTGCTTCATTAGCAATTTTGATGTGCCTAATCTGCACCTCTCTGTCAACAGAGAAGTGTAGTCTAGACACACTCCAAAAGTCCTAATTCCCAGCATTGTGTTCTAGCAACTTTTTAAAATCAGTTCTTTCTTTTTATAAATGAATAGCTTTATAACAATGCTTGTTGTGAACTAAGCAGTTGAAAACGATTACCAAATGTCTGGAAAACAGTCAGCAGTAAAAATACTGGAACAGTTTTGTGGGAGGGTGTGAAAACACCTCCTTTTGGCAGTTCTAAGAATAAGCTCTTCCGGTCAGTGTCCCTTCCAGTGGTTTCCCTCAGTTCCTCTCTCAGTCTGCAGTCTCTCTCTCTCTTGTTCCAGAACCTCCTGCTTCCTCTTTGTGATTTGGCCCTCTGGCATGTTCCTCTCTTCTGGGGTATCAAAGCCTTCCAGCACGAATTGTCCTGGGCAGTCAACTCTCCACTACCTGGTCTGTTCCACTTCCCTGTGACTGGGAGGGGAACCCGATCCCAACCTCTACTCTGGGTTCCAGTTTAGGATTCTCTCATCAGCAACCAAGGTCTACCCTATCAGCTTTCCCCTGAGCTTTCCTGCCTTTCTGGCTCCCCCTTGATTTACCAGTTCTAACTCCCTCCTTCCAGGGAGTAACTGTAAACTGCCCTCTATAGTCCCTACCATACTTTCCTTCTCTCAGAGAGTGATTGCAGACTACCTCCGTGCAGTCACCTTTTTGCTCTGAGCTCCTGGACTTTACACAGACCCCTCCTGTTCCTATCCATCTGAGCCTCATATCCCTGCTCAGCTTCCTGCCTGCTCCTCCAGGTGCACCTCAGACAATTAATTGGCCTACCTAGCCACACTCCTAACCCTTTCTAGTCTTGTGTGGGGTGGACACCCCATCCTGGGGAGAGGGCGGAGTCTTTAGATGGAATGAACACAAAACAAGACAGTCTTTACACAAAACATGTAAAATGCAATTAAAAAAAGAGAAAGGTGACACTTGAAACTTTCCATGCAGTTGCATTTTGATGATTACTTTCACATCCCTAGAAGTGTATCTGTATGTCTTGAGAAAGTAGAGATTTAGACACAGTTTAACTTCACTGTGTATATAGCATTGCTTCATGCTTAGTTTAACTTGATTTTCTGTTTGTAATTGCTGAAATTACTATTGAAATTAGTAATTTTGTATTGAATAGAATGTGGTCTGTCTGAGTTTCCTGATTAAGCATCAGCCATTTATGTCAAACTAATTGTTGCAACACATGCATGAAGCCAGCAAGAGAAATAGTACACATGGATCTTCATTGCTGCTTTTTTCAAGCTCCACAGACTGTGTAACTGACCTTTTAATGCTAATTTTCTTTCCCCCCCCCCCCTAGTGATAGTGTATTTCAGATTATCACTGTTTCCAAGGGAACAGGCTTAGGTTTGAACATTGTGGGAGGAATTAACAGAAATGAAGGCCCGTTGGTGTATATTCAAGAAGTTATCCCTGGAGGTGACTGTCATAAGGTAGATATTATGAAGTCCTTTTTTATTCATTGTTCCTTCCCAGGTGTCTCCATTTTTTCTTCATTTATTACCAACCTCAGAATAAATGGTCTCCAACATCAAGACTAGCAGCAAGCAAATCTATGAAACAGGGTTTTGCTAGGCACACTAAGCTATTTTTAGACAATGGCATCACCTTCAGTAAAGCATCGTGTCAACGGTCAATCTTTCCTTGTATTGAGTGCCCTGTATGGGAATGAGGAGACAAGTGTGTGTAGGGTT